CTGATGATTACGACGGGAAGATTTTAATATCTACGAGATGAGGACGAGAATGGTCGATGATTGCGACTAACGGTGGAAGAGCGAGATCCAAATTGTGAAATCGCGAGAGCCTTTTTGCACGAAAACGCATCCCGTGCGGGATTGCGTAATCTCTAGGAACGTTCTTTTTGTTATTGTTGACGACGACGATTATGATAAATACGTCGATGAAACGTAAGGGTGCTTCTGTGCGATTGAAGGAGCTCCGGGCACGCGTGGAAGGAAAAATTCGAAATTCCGAGGAAAAAAGAAAAAAACGAGAGAGAAAATCTAGTCTTTTCCCTACCACGTACGCGACGGCCACGATTTCTGTCTCGCGTACGTGGGCAGTGTTCGATGAGAATTCAAAACTAGCGTGTATCGACAGCTAATGGAATCAATCCTCTTGGTCGATCGGTCGACCGTCAATTATCTTTCCAGGTGTAGCGACGGCGGGCGAACGGGATCGTGGGCGGAGGAAATCTCCGGGCGTCGGCTCCTCCCGCGAAAGCAACGGTTCTCGCGTCCCGATCGGGACGCGAGCATCGATTTCGATCGGGTTTGTCCCCCGCGATTCAGTTCGCCCCCCGTTACCACGCTCCCTTTAGCCGAGAAACATGCTCAATTCTTGTCGATCAACCGTGTTATCATGCTCCATGTTTAGGACGCTCGAAAGATGTGTTTGATTTACGCGGCGCAAAATTGATCCGAAAAAGTACACGACGCCTCGTCGAGGCCCTTTCGTGCGATTGTCGAAGAAAAAAAAAGCAACCCTTTCGACAATAGCCCCATTTCGACTACGAAGACCCCTTTGAAAAAGTTTTCGCCAATTTACCACGTTCGACGCACGACGCAGCGCGCGGAAAAGGCCTCGGCGAGACGTCGCGGTTCTCTCGAACATATCAAAATACGATGGACTCCACGTTGGAGCATTACTGCGACATTACTTTCGATGTGTAATTAGACTGTAAGTAATAAATCCAATGAAACACACGCGTCTATGCGCGAGCGCGCGTCGCGCCGCGCCGCGCATGGACGCCATTGAACACTGCACGATCGATGATCGCGATAAAGAAAAAAAATAACAGGTAATCAACGCGAGATCGAGGATGGGAAAAGATCCGATCCTTGAAACATCCTTTAGGCTTACGATCGAGGATTAAGAGTTTGTTAGATGTTAATGTCTGCGGAGCGGGTCGGCTTGGCGCTTAGTGAAAGTGATCTTCGCGCAGAAATTTTCTTGCAAAAGATTCCAAATTCTCTTGAGAGAAATTCCGCTACATGAGATGAAATTTATCTGTGAGGTTTAAAGGTTCTTTCTTGTTTCGCGGCGACGAGAGAAATCACATTTATACGGCAAGACAATCGAGGAACCTCGTCTGATAAAGGAGAACTCGAACTACGGAGATCATTTCGGCGAGATCGCGAGGCCGATTCGCAGGCGTGTAGATCGAAGATAGGTGGATGGAAAAGAAGTTTATAAGCGAGAATAAATTCTTCGTGCCTCACGACTTCCGGCTGGACGACCTTTCGCGCGACTACGAGATTCGTAATTAACGGCTCGGATCATTGTGACGGGAGACGAGTGGTGGAATTCGACCCGCAGTCAAATTGTAAATACGCGGTAATCAATGTTGAAAAGTGCTCCCGCTCGTGAAATTCGTTCCTTCGTAAGCGCAACGGGAAGCTCGTCGATTCCGGAAGCACGCGATCGGCCAGCCTAAATTTAAGGTCTTTTTTAGAAATTAGCGGCGGAAAGGCAGATATATATCGCGAGGGCGACTATCGCTGCAATTTTGTGAATGAGAGAGCAAGGGTTTGCCTGCGAGTGGAACATCGAGTGAGATAGCGATTGTGGTGAGTCGAGCGAATGGATGAGTGACATCGACGACGTGTGCTTGCTGGTAAAAACGTATATAAGCCGCGAGAATGAGCGAGTGCAAGATATATACATATATACAGAGAGCTAGAGAGAAAGAGAAATTAAGTACGAGAAAATGGAGTATAAATGCGCGTGAGAGATAGGAGAATAAACAAAATTTTACTACCAAGTGGACTAGAATCGCAACCGATGGGCATTATTAAGCGAAAATAAAATTTTCGGAGCGTTTTTTCGACGAAGAAAAGCGTCCAAAATTGTACCTATTTTCATTTTATAAATTATATATATATATGTATATGTATATGTATATGTATAGATATACGACGACCTAAACGATTATTATTGCAAGATGTAATTGCAAGAGAGAGAAAGAGAGGGAGAGAGTGTGAAAGGGAGAGAAAGAGCGCGCGCGCGAAAGCGAGAGAGAGAGAAGGCGGACAGGAGGACGATGGAAAATAAGAAATTATTGTATCTATATTCGGAAAAATGATCGATGATGTATTCGAATCGTGATTATTATTATATATTATGATTATTGTGTATAGTTAAGGCGAAAATGGAATTTTAGACGAAATTATCGAACTCGAGGTATACATATAGGAAGCGTAAGTGAGAGAGAGAGAGAGAGAGAGAGAACGAGAGAAAGAGAGCGCGCGAGACGGGCCGAGAGAAAGAGAGAAAGAAAGCGTATGTGAGTGAGAGAGAGAGAGAGAATTTCTCAATGGTGATTGCACATTGCATGTCGACAGGCAACAAAACAGAGTCCCCCTCCCCTCCGGTAAAAAAGTCGATAGGAAAAAAAAACTCAAGTCACGGCCGAAACGCAAGGGCAAAAAAACTTTTGAGATCGCGAGTTCTTTCGGGGTATTTCAAAATTTATCGCGAAACGGGCGACTTCTTTCCATTTTTTCGAAATCGCGAGACTGTAACTTCCAAAAGAAAAGCAAAAAGAGAGTGATTCTCGTTTCCTTTGTGCCAGGACCAAAAGAAAAAGAAATAGCCGAATATATATCTATATATAAAAATATACATATATGTATGTATGTATGTATGTTCGTATGTACGTACATACATGAACCAGCACACGCAACGCGTATGAGACGTGCGAACGCGTTCTCCAGCGCGACGATCCTGCCGGGGTGATGCGCGATCGAGCGACTTTCGGACAACCAGAACGAGTGCCTCGTGGTCCGATCCCAGTTAGAGGACGGGCCCAGATTTGGGAAAATTCTTTGCCGGCAGATCGACGCGCTCGGGGGACGCGAGCGGTGAGGAGGAGAGAGGCGACAGGAGGCGGCAGAAGTAGCTCGGACAGCAATAGTTTACAGGTCAAAATTCAGCAAACAGTCAGGTCGTAATAGGGAAACAAAAGTAAAAGCCAAGTCGGAACAGCGGAAACAAAAATCGCGTAGAAACACGAGGCAACAGATAGTTACATTAATTTCTCAGTAGCGTCACAGATCGCACTATCGCGGTTTCAGTTCTCCCCTCGCGATCGTATAGATCGTTGTTAGATTTTCCGACGCTCACACCGCGTATCCGCGTCCCTCGATCGAGAATGGGGGGGTGGTTTTTCGCGAGACGATCGCTCGGTTAAACATCGCGGAGCGATCGGTAGGGAAAGGAGCGAAATCGCCATCGATCGACGGACCCGGGACGTCGTTGACGCCTTATTTTTTTCACCGCAACGTATCCGTTCTTTCTCATCAGTATTGCAATTTCCCCGACTCCCTCCCCCGCAACCCCCTGATTACAGTATCCTCACGTACGATACAAATCCCGCGGATATATTCCCGTTTCCCCACCGTCAACCGCTCCACCGCCACCAAACACCCCGTTACACAGCCAACCCGTCCTCCCCCTCCCCCCCCCTCCACTACCAAACCGATTTACTAGTGTGAGTGAATGTGTCAACACGTGCAAGGATTTTAAAAGAAAAAAAAAAAGAAATCTAGCGAATTTCGAGGAGGAATGGTGGAAAAAAAATGAGGAAAGCGTCGAGCAAAATGCGATCGTGAGGATTGATTTAAAGAGAATAACCGGGAAAACGTACACACACACACATTCGTCGGACTGTGCAGGGACATTTTGCATCAATTGTGTAAGACACGAGACAGAGGGAGAAAGTGTGCGTGTGTGTGAGAGAAAAGGGGCGATTAAAAGCGAAAAAAAAAAGATTAAATAAAAGAGGAAGCGAAGTCGAGTGAGAATGCGCGTGTGGAAGGTGCGAGAGCGAGAGGTAGAAGAGATCCTAAAGAGAGCGAGCGAGAAGATAAAAAAAAACGGCGGAAGCTAAAAAAACAAAATGTACGAACGAACATTGATACTATCTTCGTTTTTTAAGGTCGTTTCTCCGTTCGACACGCTACTATATAAATATTGACATTTGTCATTGGATTATTACCGACGATGATGAAGTATCATTATTATTATTATTATTACGGAACTATTATTATTACGATGATAAATGATTATTATTATTATTACTACCATTTATTATTGTCATTATTATCACAATTTATTATTGCGATGATGATCATGATTATTATTATTATTAATATTATTATTATTATTACGTGGTACAATAAAAATTTAATAAGCATTCCAAGTCTCGTGACTGCCAAGCCTAGTTTCCCCGCTAATCACGAATTCGATAAATACCTCCCTTTATCACGTCATTTTAGTACCATGACCCCTCTTGCATACAAGAGATAAAAATAACTGCCTACCGATAACGGAAGGAGTAAACAGAAGTGTTGTTATAACATGTAACGATATCGCGTGGTTAAACACGAATTACAGAGACGGGGCTCGCCTCGTCAATTTTACGTAATATGTTTTTCCCAGAGAGCAAGCACACCGCGATGGACCGCCCCCGTTGCTCTTCCCTCATTTGCCATTTGCATAAAACACCGCGGTCCAACAGTTTGCAAAACAAAAACAGATTAATTTATTCCACAAAAATTCATACCAAGTAACACGGAGGATGGTGACTGGGGAAGAGACATCGATTTCGAAACGCCTTACAACGAATTGACGACGCCAACGTGAACGACGTGAATAATTAAATCGCTTAAACGACCGATTGCGATATACCGTCGCGTCCGCGGGGCCGCTTTCTAGTTTGTCAAATCCGAAAACGTTTAGCGTTTTAAAACTTGCTACATCCGAGTCTGGTAGTAAATATCACGCGGGGTCATCACAGCCCCAATGGGAGCGGCTTACCGTTGAGCTACGCGAAGTTACTCGAGTTAGTGAACGACAAAGCACTAGGAAAGAAGCATCATGCTTCGTTTCGTCGCGCGCGGCAGATTCGTCGTCTGTGACAATCTCGATAAGTGTCCGAGCACCTTCGGAGGCGTACGTGACACCTGCAGCGTCGCCACAATATCGAGGGTCAGGGAGAGGCTCGGCGGTGGTTCGACGTCGCGTTCCAATTGTTTGATCGATTCCACGACACCTCGTGCTATCGCCGAAGCGACTCGCCAGGAAAATCGTCGGCTGTCGTCAACGTCGGCTGTCAGCGAAGCCCGCAAGACGTGTCTTTACAATCTCCATGTGGAAAGGCAAGGCAAGTTTCGCAGATCTAGTCTTACATAACAGGCTCGAGTAACGTCAAAGTCAAATAACAGGAGCCTAATAATAATTTCTTGCAATAACGACAACCAAGATCAATACGTTAAAAGTCCACTATTCGTTACGTAAATAATATAAATGCAATTTAAGCCAATAATTAAACTAAATGCTTCGATCTAGTCGGGTTATTAATATCAAATTAAACGGCATTTTGAAATTTATGCAAAATTATTGCGGAACATTGGCCAGCAAACAATTAAATGGCACATCCGAGATGCGTTTCGTGAGTTTTACAATATTTTAATATTGCAGTGTATTTAATGCAGAAAGTATGCAGCAATTAGGAAAGTCGTTCCACGTGATTTTTATGTTCAGGCAAAATCATCAATTTTGCCGGATGGCTACTGCCGGTGCAATATCGGGAGACGATTGCCGTGTCTCATCTACACACGAGATCGTTGGCATCGCTCTTCGACGTCGGTCACATGCTGCAGACGCGTGTTTCCGGCAAAGACGCCGGGGAGTATTTAGAATCGCTAACCACGTGTGACCTCAAGAATTTAAGTAGAGGTTCCGCGACTTTGACCGTCTTCACCAATGACAAGGGAGGAATTCTGGACGATCTCATCATCACTAAAGACGACGAAGACAAGTACTTCGTGGTGTCCAACGCGGGTAGGCGGGACGAAGACAGTCAACTTCTCTTGGAACGTCAGGTGATAATTTACACGCTCCTCATTTCGGAGCAGACAACAAATACAATGACACGGTTGCTCCCCTGCTTTCAGGACGATTTTAAAAAGGTCAGCAAAGACGTGTACGTCGACTTCCTGGATCCCTTGGAGCAAGGTCTGATAGCTCTTCAAGGCCCCACGGCGGCGACGGTCCTCCAGTCGTTGGTAAAAATCGATCTTCAAACCCTAAAGTTCATGAACAGCGTGCAAGCCGAGGTGTCGGGAAGTCGCGTCCGAATTTCGCGATGCGGCTACACCGGAGAGGACGGCTTTGAGATCTCGGTACCCGCGGACGACGCGATTAATCTAGTCGAGAGGATCTTGGAGATTCCCGATGTGAAGCTGGCCGGTTTAGGAGCCAGAGATAGTTTGCGGTAAGTCAGTAGACAAGGCGGACGCGTGTCGCGTCTTAAAATAATCAAATCGTCGCACGTGTAATCGAGATAATATGCACGAGGGTCTGAAGAGACTCGAATCAATCGCAAGCAATACAAGAATAATGATGAAATACAACTCTATCTGGTCTCTTTCGCTCATTTTCACGCAGACTGGAGGCTGGACTCTGTTTATACGGTCACGATATCAACGAGGACACCACACCAGTCGAAGCTGCCCTTACGTGGCTAGTCGGTATGCTTTCGCTGAATCAACCCCGAACACGATAATTACTCCTCTAATCGCTTCTAAATGCCAATGTAGTTTCATCGCTCTTCTCCAACTTTGTCACGCGAGACGCGAATTATTGCAGTTTAACAAAATATCGATCTCCCCGCCCCTTTCTCTCTCTCTATCTCTCTTGCACTCTCACTCTTTCTCTTTCTCAAAGCGAAACGACGGAGGGCCGAGGCGAACTTTCCAGGCGCGCAGCGAATACTTTCGCAGATCAAGACGGGCACGACAAAGAAACGCATCGGACTATTACTGGGTCAAGGACCACCTGCCAGGGAAGGCGCGCCCATATTGACGCCGGAAGGTGAGCGTGTGGGCAGCGTCACTTCCGGTGGACCAAGCCCGACTCTGGGCCGGCCGATCGCCATGGGATACATGCCACCGGATTTGGCGCAATTTGGCGGTGGAGTATTGGTCGAGGTACGAGGGAAGACGTACAAGGGGACCGTGACGAGGATGCCCTTTGTGAAAGCGAAGTATTACACCGCGAAATGACGCCGATTTCGCGACGGAAATTGGTCGATCTCCGGCAATGCCCGGCAACGTCCGGCAAATTAATCGCGAGACGATTAATTGACGGCGACGAATCGTTTATACATTCGCGAACAATTGGCTAGTTGGTTGATTTACCAACGCGAATAAATTGCGAATCGAGTCGTAAATGATATTTAAATTGATATACATCATTTTTGACGTGTTTCACTTGCGTCAGCTGATGCCTAAATTGAACTAATGTCAAAAACCCGCCAACCTGATTGTTAAATATTATGTTTTTAAAGACAAAATAATGCAGTGCGAAAACATTTTGTAAGACAGATTAGTGGAAAAATTTGCAAAACCGATTACTATTTATAAAAATGCGCACTTTTGTAACAATAATTTTCGCACAATTGCAATACTTATTTTCATCGATGAAATTTATAGAAAGTATAAATAAAGTATCTTATAATATTGTATGTATGTATATTCGTATGAACATTTTTTTAATACATTATAATTTTATTATAACATTATAATTATTATACTGTTTTATAAAATGTAATAAATATTTTAACAAAACTGTAATAAATTTATTCATAACTTTCTACAAACTCGCATCCCGAAATTAATTTTCTATTGAATCATTAATTCGACACCGCGACAGATAACCCGGCGTTATCGGTAACAACGAAATCGGTTTCTACCTTATTCACTAAAGGATTGCAAACGTCGCAACAGCTAGCGCCGCTTACCTCGCGTGATAAATGCACGCAATGCCGATTGAGGCGTTGCTAAAAACTGCAGGTGCAATTGGACGCGCATCCCAGTCTAACACCGAGCACCGGCATACATGTATACCAGAGATCCTGTCCAGTGAGAAATAATTCGTCGATCGATGTCGAAATGATGTCGAATCGACGTCAATTCGACGGTGTCGATGTCGATTCGACGTCGTTTCGACGTCGATCGACGAATCGTTTCTCACTGCATGGGTGTAATCAGCTAGACTGGCCATAAGAGAGTTCGTCAACGTTTCCGCGAGAGAGAGAGATAGAAACATAGGCTATCTCACTCGCAGGAACTTGACTAACTCTCCTGCGGCCAGTCTCTGATTACAATAGATTACAGCGTTCTTATAATTCTTGACGATCTTTATTTGGTTGTCTATCGGTTTTCCCCAGTTTTCCTATTACTACCGCACGATTTTTTCTCTCTCTCTCTCCTCCCCCCCCTCTCGCTCTCTCTCTCTCTCGCTCTCTCTGAGAGAGAGACCCTTATTCTCGGTACAAGCGCGAAACGTTGTATCGGAGTCAAGAAATGGCAGCCTTTCCGTTTATTATACCTAGCTGATCCTGCCACCGATAAATCGATATAGCTAGCAAACATCGGAACAGCAATATATTCATATCTGATGACGATCGATCAAGAATCCGCTGGTCCCAATCCGGGCCGAAAGAGCCGGGTCCCGTTGACGCCATATTGTCGGCGACGCGATCGGACCGTCGACGCCGAAAACGCGACGCGGCTTGCGACGAGCTTCTCGCGGGATACTCGCGGACGATTTTCCGACGCCAATACTCCGCGCCGATAGAAAAACCGTAGAAAACCGTTTGTTCGGGCCTCGTGACAACGAACGAGAGCGAACGCGTGCCACAATTTCAATTGCCGAATGCCACTTACTTGTCGCTGATTCGCACCACGTTTTTGACTCTAGATCTGTTATTTTAACTGCTTATATACACGAAACGTCCGGGAAACTCTACTCACCTCGAAACGACGAACTCGCGGACCGATGCACGCACGACGCAGAGGCCCGTTTCGGCGCGCAAGCGAGATGATGTACAATTTGAAAGATATCACGAACAAAATCGCGGTTTCGCGAAGGGCACGAAAGCGTCGAAACGATCGACGCGCCCAAGCGGCTTCCCCGGTCACTAGGATCACAAAAGTTCTGACAGGTAACGAAGATGGCGTATTGGTTGTGTTCCGTGCTGTGTGCACGAAATGTCGATAAAAACAGAGTTACAAATCTTTCGTTAAATCTAATTCAAGTAAAAGTTTGTAATTTTCTAGTGTTGTAGCTGTCAAATGTCGATCAATATCAGCTGCCGTAAAGGTTGTTACTACTACCACAAATAAAATACTGCCTTTCTCTTATTGTTACTCTCTAAAATTTGTGGAGTGAAAATACCGCCATGGAGTGAAATGTTTACTCCATTGGAGTTAATATTCACTCTGTTGGAGGAAATATTCACGCCAATAGGGTGAACATTTCACTCCATGGCAGTATTTTTACTCCACAAATTTTAGAGAGTAGATTTAAATTAAAATGGTATCCAAAACAGACCAACTCGTAGAGGCCCTCCACCACCCCCGCCGAATTCTTTCCGGCGGTCCTCTTTTCTTTGCAATAATTGTCTTTTTACATTTTTACCGTTTAGTTAATTTAAACAGGTAATATGCATATAATAATACATAACTCTTACGATGTAAAACATTAATAAAAAATGTTACACAATGCTACACACGAAGTAAATGTGTAACATTTTTTATTAATGTACAAATGAAAGATCAAATTGTAAAGATTAAACTATCGACCGATTACAAATAAAAATCTATCGATTAAAAGACTCTGTAAATTCAATTGAACTACAATTTTATTCAACAAGAAATCGAGAGGCCCTCCACCACCCCCGCCGAATTCTTTCCGGCGGCCCTCTTTTCTTTGCAATAATTGTCTTTTTACATTTTTCCCGTTTAGTTAATTTAAACATGTAATATGTATATAATAATACATAACTCTTACGATTTAAAATATTAATAAAAAATGTTACACAATGCTACACACGAAGCAAATGTGTAACATTTTTTATTAATGTACAAATGAAAGATCAAATTGTAAAGATTAAACTATCGACCGATTACAAATAAAAATCTATCGATTAAAAGACTCTGTAAATTCAATTGAACTACAATTTTATTCAATAAGAAATCGAGAGGCCCTCCACCACCCCCGCCGAATTCTTTCCAGCGGTCCTCTTTTCTTTACAATGTGATTTTTACAATTTTGTTATTTATTTTATTTTCCTAGCTTGTAGTTCACTTTACAAGGTATACAATATATAAAAGAAAATATTATAAAATGAAAAATATAATATCTGTACAATTTAGTATTTCTCTCGACGTTACATATGAAATATTCGGTATGCATACAGTAACATGAAATTCTTGCTATGTAAAATATATGCATATTGCGTGTTTGGCTTGAAAAATATCCCAAATGTATTTATTAACGGTCTCTTAAAAGTAAATAAAATCTACAAAAATTTTAAGTGAACTTAAAGTTAAAACTTAACAAACGCACAACGACTCCCATCTTATTATATGCATCCGATTACAAATATAATTATATTTAATAGTAATACATTGCAGTTACAATTTTATCTATATTTTTAATTATGCAGTAACGTCCCCCTGTCCCTGCCTGCCCGAATCTCTACCTATCCGTATTTCGCTGTATAGTCTTATCCATTTTCCTACCTGCCCGCGTTTCAACTTTTTATTAATAAACCTCGTCTTTCTAAGTCTTTCGTTAAAACCGCAACGCGATATAAGAGGTCCGATTTAGGGTTACACGCGCGATTTAATAGGGATTTAATAGAAGTATTTTTAATCTCGCACATATACGCGAGAATGTGTAAAGAAGATAAGAATATAACCCACCCGAATTTTGACAAAAAGAAATCTACCTATTTCGTACATCACCTTACTTTCATACACCATCAAAGTGGCCAATATTGACCACTTACCGTATCGTCGGGCCAGATTGGACCTACCTTTCGTTGCTCCTGGCCATACAATCTGATCACTTTGACCAGAGAACAGGAAGGAAGAAAATTCCTTCCACAGTCGGTTGTTTATTATCGTCACCGACAGATATTTCGTACGGTTCGAACGATGTGCGAGCGTCGATCGTATCGAAATGCACGACCACGAGAAGTTAATTAAACAAGAAAATTGATTTTAAAAATTTGCTGCATGAAACTAATCGAATATATCTTTATCTCCGTTATTTATTCAACAATAGATAATGACCGTCCCTTTGTGACTCAATTCGAAAATCCAAATTCGAAATTCAAGTATATATGTAGAATATATGTATAGAAAAAAGATTTACTTCGCGTTATATTTATTTTTATTTCACTTCGCGATAAATTAAAAATTTTAATGCGAATGAAATTAAACAATCAATAACTTGTTGACAATTTCCTGAAAAACCGATCGCGAAGACCGACCGCGAAAATACGAAGATGCGTGTAACTATGCATGTATTCTCATGCGAGACGCATCTTGAGATACAGAACAAATAACGTGAGACTCGGAGAAAAGAAACTTTCCGTACACGATAGAAAATAAAATGTTAATGTTAACATTTTTTACATGTCCCAAAAAGTCCACTCTAAATTTTAAATTAAAATAACATTTATCGCGTATATTACTTTTTCACAAATTGTTAATGTTAATTAATCAGTTTACTTCACATTTATGTTTGTGTTCTTTCAATCTTAAGTGTGATGCAATAAAACAGTCAGGATAAGTAAACTGTACGAATAGTTGCAAATCAGAATAGTTAAACAGTTTTTAACAAATGCCGATATTACACGTTTCGGTTGATCTTGTGAAATGTTTGTGTTAAAAGAACTCGAAATAATATTCAACTTTTAAATAACATACATAAAGCGTCAAGGTATTACGTTAACATAAATATAACACATAAAAGTGTTACGAAAATAATAAAGTATACGTTTTATGTTAATTTTACATTGAAGTAAGAATCAAATCTTGGTAACACAAGAAAATTTTAACATTTGAACACACGATTTTTCACTGTGTACGATAAAGAAACCGACAATTAAATATTCTAGTTAATGAATAATTTCAAATAATATATAAAAATAATGTAAAGTTTCAGCGGTCTCGACAAAATTATAGTCTCACGTTATATTATTTTAATTCATATATAAATTTGTTAAAATGGATAGGCTACAAGAGATTACCTCGACGAATGCATTAATAATATTCGTCATTATTTGCGTGAAAATATGTAATGTGCTACTCAACAGTAAAAATCGCGATCGCTCCCTTCCGACAGATAAAATATATATGATAATAAATATGAAATTAAATTGTACTCTATCCATTTTAAGGCAACGGATCTACGAGATGTAGATACGTTGCCTTAATAAAAAAAAGTTTTCAACTCACCAACCGATGCGCAGCGGCGGAGGTAGGCTACGTTGATCCTGTAACAAATAAATATAGAATTCATTAAAGTGTTCAAGGAAACAAATATTGTAAAATATGAGCAATTTCTATGCGTATTAGACGTTTGATTTTATTGGATATTTAAATAATTAATGCGCAAAAGATTGTTACAAGAACGAACTTTTGTGAAATTTTTAATTATTTCTCGTTCTCTAATTATTCCTTCGAAACTATAGAATTATGAGATAAAACAACTCAAAACTGACGTAGACAAAAATTAATTGTACACTAAATAAGAAATACTTACAGTAAAGTTGCTCCGCCGGCGCCGGATGCCTTTTCCAGGCCTCCTCCTCCACTCAGGCTGTCTTCTTGCACACTCGCGAAAACACACAGACCGTTCGCGCGATTTTACACTCCCGTTGGTAAAACTCATTTGAAGGTGTGTATTTTGTTCCGTCAAGCTCGCCTCCACTTCGAGTCGACGAGTATTTTACCCGAAAAACTGCCAAATCTCTGAAGTGTGGCCATCGACAGAAACGGACATTTGACAAATACTTATTCCTCAAATGGGCTTTGAAATGTCTTCAGTTCGATTATTTACACGGCACTCCCGAACGCGACGAAAGTGAAAGCTTCGCGTAATACGCGCACTTTTGTACGTTCCCGTTATCACTTTATCAACGCTATGACTGCGGATCGCGACAATTACTTCAACGCGATTGATCAATGTTAATATTTCTCGTACGAGACGATCGATGATTTACACGGCACTCCCGAACGCGACGAAAGTGAAAAGTTCACGTAATACGCGCACTTTTGTACAGTTCTCGCTAATACTTTATCAACGACGTGACTGCGGATCGCGACAACGCGATTGATCAACGTTAATATTTCTTGTACGAGACGATCGGGATTCTCGTAGGAAATTATAGTCGCGTTACGACGTGCGACGCGAAGACACGCGGAACGTCCGCCTCGTTCGATTGAACTGCGCGAAATGATAGACTGTTTTCGACCGAGGTCAAGGTTTTTACGGCGCTACGTCATCTCGTGGAATTCGGCGCTCGGCTGTCGACCGAGTTGTTTACGTCGCTCGGCGAAACAAGGCCACGCCGTACGCCGGAATCGTTCACGTGATTCACACGGCGACAATTGCAAAAACGAGTCCGTTATGCCCGCGCCTATTCCGCACATCGTATTATTCTTCCTACGCGTTCGCGACAAGTACAAGAAGAAGTCGCGATAATTGCTTGTTTAAACGACACTCGTATTCGGATACATCTCGTGTCATCGCAGTGGGTTTCGCGTCGCTTCGAGTGTAATTTGTTAGCTGTTTCTAGTGAAAACGAGAATGAATACCACGTATAATTGGAAGAGAAAATACGATCAACAGCGCAAGGTAATACACCCCATACAGCACCGAAAGATTGCAGAAACATTGCATACATGCAGTGATCTCAGATTTGCGTTTCTGCCACCTAGCCACCGCGGTAGTGGGGGATGGCGCGTGGTGGGGATCCGGCACACACACAATCACGCGGTCGTGTAGCCCGCCGAGCGCTA